AAAGGCAGGAAAGTGTGTGTGTGAAAGGATGCCTTCAATTCAGTAAAAGATGAGTATTAGGAGCCTCGAGAGGAAATTGGGATAGAGGAAAAAGAGGAAGCAGGTATTCTAATCCTCAGGGTTAATTAAGGGACTAATTTGATGAAATGTCAGAGTGGGCTCCGAGCTCCCTAGCAGCCAGGGTGAAAAGGGAAACAGCCAACTGACAAGCTCTTCTCATCAGAAAGAAAGGCATTCTCAGGCCTCAATCTTCCCTGGTACAAGGCAAGCTCCTCTCCCCCACACCTGAGGCACCTCACAGACACACCCCTCCTTATGTAGGCACAGCCCAGCCCTGGCCCTCTATGGGCCCTAGAGTCAGAGTGGGCCAGTGTGGCCACTGGCAAGCTGGCTAACCTCTTAGAGCCTAAGAGGCCACACCCAGGTCAGCCCCTTAACCCCACCCCTCACCTTTAGGCAAGCCACAGACACCACCCAATGGAAACGGGAGAGGCCCCTGCATCTTGGGGCTGCTGTGAGGATTAGATGGACAAAGTGGGTCAAGGGTTCAACCGAGAAAGTGCCTGGCAAATGCCATCTGGTCTTGTTTTCAATTTGCCCCTCATCCAGGGACTGTGACCTTTGTGAGCCTCGGCTTCTTCATCTGTAGAATAGGGATAATGGTGTCCATCAACCAGAGTTCCCGTGAGGGTTGGAACAATGTGCAGTACAGCTGTTTGCTTCTGAAGTGAGGTCAGCAGCCACATCAGTGTGGGCAGGTGGCCAGCACGCCCCTTTCCCAAGCTCCCGCACACCTGGCACTCACCCGCAGGCCCTAGGGGGCAGGGAGAAGCCTAGCTTACAGAGGAGGGCACTGAGGCCCAGAGAGGGAGGGACAGATAAGCTTCAAGGTGGTGAGTGGAGCCAGCCCAGGGACTCCAGGGAGGTCCTGCAGTGGCCTCCCCCAGGAAGGAAAGAGGAAGGAAGGGGACAGTTACTGTTCTCAGACCCATGTTTGGTGGGAGGCAGGAGGGCAGGGGCCCAGGGACCCACCCAGCCGGCCCCTTTGAGCACCCTCTGTGCATGGCTCAGGCACAAGAGCAAGAAGAAAGCCTTCACCAAGGCCTGTAAGCGGTGGCGTGACGCCGATGGCAAGAAACAGCTCCAGAAAGACTTTGCCGCCATGAAGAAGTACTGCAAGGTCATTCGGGTCATCGTCCACACCCAGGTCAGCCCCGTGACCTCAGCCCACACCCAGTCGGCAGGTCACCGCTGGGCTCCCCCTCCCCCACCCCAGCCTCCAGGAGCCCTGGCAAATGTCAGCCTAAAAATACTGTGAGTCCCGGGCACAGGACCAAAGGGTTGGCTGTCTGTAGCTCCAGGGATGACATGCCGGATGCCAGTGTGCTCTGCGGGCTATGGGGCATTGCCCATGCCCGGTGGTCAACCAAGGTCCTGAAATGCCCCAGAGGGCTTGGGTCTCCTGCCAAATGCCCGGTGTAGAAGGCCAGCTCCTCCTGTGGCTTCTGCTATAAGTGTGTGTGTGCATCCATGGGGTTTGCACATGGGGTCTGGCTTGATGTGGGCTGACAGGTTACCCTCTGGCTTATTCTGGAACATTCCTTGGTGTCTAATCCTCAGGGAAGCCTTTCATAGGCCCTGAGCAGGGATACTCCCTCCCTACCCCCGACCCCTGCCCAGTTACTCTCACACGTGCAGTTCCTAGTTACGTGTCATTGGTTAATGTCCATCTTCCTTGAGCTCCTTGGGGGTAGGGGCCACGCTGCCTGTTCAGTGCTGTGTCTCCAGAACCCGCCAAGAGCCTTGTGTGCAGTAGGTGTTCCGTAAGTACTCATTGCTGAGCACTCTGCTGTGACCTAACCGTGTTCCTGCTTCCACCTGTGCATCCCCACCTGCTTCCAGCCTGTGCCTCACAGAGCAGCAGCCAGAGAAGTTTAAAAATGTGAATTAGATTGCATTAGACCCCACACTTGGAACAAAACTCAAGTTCCTCCCTACAAGACCTGCCCGGCAGGACGCTGCTCATGTCTGACTCCTTGCTCCCCATGGCCTAGACCAGCGGTTGCCAACCTTTCGGACCTCACGGACCACCAGTGGTCCGCGGACCACCAGTTGGTGACCGCTGGCCTAGACACACTGGTTTCCGTTCTGTCCTCCCAGTTCCTCAGGCTCTTCCCTGTCTCAGGACCATGGCATATGTGGTCCCTTCTGTCCCAGAAGCCTCAGACTTTCACCTAGTGGCTCCTTCTTGTGACTGGTGTCACCTCCTCAGGGAAGCCCTCCAGGGCCACCCTATGTGCAATGACGATTCCCTCCCCACCGAATAGTCCACCGGAACACTTAGCCCTCTCCAAGATACTTGGCTTCTGTTTCCCAACTAGATGGTGGCTCTATGAGGACCAGGACCCTGTCTGCCGCATTCTATGCTGTCCCCCAGTGCCTAGCACAGGACATGGCTCATAGCCAGATCAGCACGGGAACGTCTACTGAATGAATGCAGGCATGCCACCCCGCTAGGGGTCACAGCCAGTCATGCGGCGTCTGTAAGTGCGGTTTGACCCCATGGGAACTCACTGGCGCGCTGTGTCCTGCAGATGAAGCTGCTGCCCTTCCGGCAGAAGAAGGCCCACATCATGGAGATCCAGCTGAACGGCGGCACAGTGGCCGAGAAGGTGGCCTGGGCCCAGGCCCGGCTGGAGAAGCAGGTGCCAGTGCACAGCGTGTTCAGTCAGAGCGAGGTCATTGATGTGATCGCTGTCACCAAGGGCCGGGGCATCAAAGGTAGGGCTGGGGAGAGATGGCAGCTCCTGGAAGGCTGCCTGGAGGGGATGGGGCCAGACGGGCCTCAGCCACCGGCCCCTCCCACCTGTAGGGGTCACGAGCCGCTGGCACACCAAGAAGCTGCCTCGGAAGACCCACAAGGGGCTTCGAAAAGTGGCCTGCATCGGCGCCTGGCACCCCGCCCGAGTGGGCTGCTCTATCGCCCGGGCTGGGCAGAAGGGCTACCACCATCGCACGGAGCTCAACAAGAAGGTGTGTCCCGAGTCCTGGTGAGGGGGGACGTTGTGACCAGACCCCAGCCGGTGGGGGTACATGACCCAGACACTGCCCGCTCCCCAAAGGCTCTGATGTGCACCCACCCGTGCCTGGGGTTAAGCCCACATCTGATGGGTGTGGACATAGTGCTGGCCCCAGGGGTCACCTGCTGCCCTCCGTGTGCCCTGTGCTCCTGGCAGATCTACCGCATCGGCCGGGGGTTCCACAAAGAGGATGGGAAGGTGGTTAAGAATAACGCGTCCACCAGCTACGACTTGACTGACAAGTCCATCACGCCGCTGGTGAGGTTGGGCAGCCGGTTTGGCTGAGGGGGCCTGGTGAGCATGTGTGGGGTAGGTGTGGGGGGTGCTGGGGTGCCCCAAGAACTCAGGCCCCACCAAACCCCCTCCTTCCTGCACTCTCTGAGCCTCCTCTGCAGAGAGCTTATACTCCAACTGCTGTCACGGGGTGCAGCGTGCAGCAGCTCTGACTGTGGCCCTGGAGACAGGCTGCCTGGGTTCGAACTCCAGCTGCAGTATGTGCTGGAGCAGGTGACTCCACCCTTCTGAGCCTCAGTTTCCCCCGGAGTAAAATGCAGGTTGTTAAGCGATACACTGTGGGAGGAGACCTAGGGTGTGGCTCAGCAGTGATAGAGGGTGTCACTCTTGGCCAGGGGGCCAGCTCTGGCTCCTTCCAGTTACAGCTGGGCACGGGCACGGGAGTTCTTCCAGGGTTCCCAGCTACCCCCCAACTCAATCTGGATCCCTCCCCACCTCCCCACAGGGTGGCTTCCCTCACTACGGGGAAGTCAACAACGATTTCGTCATGCTGAAGGGTTGCATCGCGGGAACCAAGAAGCGGGTCATCACACTGAGGAAGGTCAGGGCAGGCAGTGGTTGGGAGCTGGGGAGCAGGAGCCCCATGGGCTTTGCGAGGGGTGGGGGCTGGCCTGCCCTGTCCTCCAGCCTGTTCAGAAGAGGGGCAGTGGATGGGGAGAGCAAAAAGAGAGGGGTTCGGGCAGGAGATGGGTGGGTGGGTTGGGGGCTCCTGGAGCGGGTGGGAACCTCCGTCTTGAGGCTCTCCTTTCCCACGGATCCCCAGTCCCTCCTGGTGCACCACAGCCGCCGGGCCCTGGAGAATATTGAACTCAAGTTCATAGACACCACCTCCAAGTTCGGACACGGCCGCTTCCAGACAGCCCAAGAGAAAAGGGTCTTCATGGTGAGTCCCCCCATCGCCCTTCTCTGGGGCTCAGACCGCACATCCCACCTGCTCCAGAGTGGGGAAGCTGGAGCAGATTGGGGTGGCAGGATGCCCCCCGCACTCATCCATGGGAGGGGGCTTTTAGAGTCTAGCTCTGGACACTAATTCTTGCTGGAAAAGAAGGTAGGGGAGGGACCCCCATGGGAGGGGCCGGCAGGGCCGGCTCTGGGTGACTCAGGCGGCTGGCCAGGGGCAGTATTTTGAGCCAGACCCCTGTGATAAACGCTTCTCCGGCCCCCCACTCCCACAGGGTCCCCAAAAGAAGCATCTTGATAAAGAAAAGCCGGAGACCTCGGGAGACTTGTAGGCGGCTTGGGATGGACGGAGCCTGAAAGAAGCACGCGAGACCCCGTCTGTCCCCCTTGTCTAATAAAGGCTGGAGGCAACTCTTCCCTCGGTGTCTGAATTGAGGGCATGGAAAGGCCGGGAGCGCACACCCCAAACCCAGCGCAGCTCGGCGGCGCCCCCTGGCGCTGGCCCGCGGGAACGCAGCACAGGAGCGGCCCTCAGGACGCGTCGATGGGCAGGGCCTGCTGGGAAGGCTGGAGGAGGCGGGTTCTCGGGAGGGGGCGGGCCTCCAGGAGGAGGAACCCGGAACTCTGGTCCGATTGGTTCCCGGGAAGGGGCGGACCCCCAAGGAGGCGGGCCTCGCGGCGTCCCTGGACGTGATTGGTCTCCTGGAGGGGGCGGGGCCGCGGGCGCGGGGGCTGGGTGCAGGCTTGCGGTCGGTGGCCTCAGACCTAAGTGAAGCGAGCGACGGTCGTGCAGCGGTCCGGTCGGCGCCATGTCGTTTTGCAGCTTCTTCGGGGGCGAGGTTTTCCAGAAGCACTTTGATCCGGGTACAACCTCTGACCTCCTGGCAGAGCAGCGGGGCGGGGCGCGCATCAGAGGGGCCGTCGCTGCCCTCGGGTGGTGCTGGAGCCCTGGAGTCCCGGGGATGGGGCGGCGAGTGGGACCGCGCGGGGAGGAGCGCGCGTAGATAGAGGGGATCACGGAGGAGGGAGGCATCTGGGGGGGCTCGGAGAGTAGGGGGACCTGAGGGGGGGAGGACATTAGAGGGGTTCACTCTCCTGGAGGAGGAAAGCCTTTGAATGTGAACATGGCCGTTTGCGGGGGAATCAGTGGGGTCAGGGTACAGGGGAGGGGGTGGTGGGGCTCCGGGTCAGGATCTGGACTTCGGAGGGACGCGGTGGAAGAGGGCCTTGTCCAGGGGCAGCGGCTGCTCCTTCTCTCTGATGTGACCCCCGCCCTTTCCCCGTCGCCATTTCCTGGGACCCGCGAGGTGAGCCAGAAGCACAGAACGTCCCGTTCGGATCCGAATGTGCTGGCCTTGGAGCCTCCCCGACCTGCGCGGCCCGGGTCGGGTAACCAGGAGTGGCCGGTGCTGTGAAGTTTGGCCGGGCAGCCTGGGCGGGGTGGGGGAGTGGGTCTGGGAGTGGTTTGTGGCTGGCCAGCCCGCAGCACTGGCTCCAGGCTCTGAGAAGCCCTGCTGAGTCCCCTTCTGGGCCGGGCTGCTTGGTAATGGACTAATTTGGTAAAAAAACGTGCCATAGGCGAGACTAGGGCAGCAACTTACTTGGGATGGAGTCTGTCGGGTATCAGCTCTCCAGAGCACTAGGCTCTGGCGCTGAGCTTCTGTGGATATCTGCTCTGACAGAGGACCCTCTGGGCAAAGCCATCCCCCGAAACCCTCTGCCCTGGGACCCTCAGGCTGCTCTGCCAGGCCGGTAACTCCGGCAGCTCCTGGGTCCTCTTTGCTTCCTCCTGCAGTTACTGGTAAAGGCTGAGTAGCTCAGGGTCTCCAAGGGAGGCTGTCCCTGGGCCAGGTAGTGGGCAAGGGGTACCTGCTTCCGTTCTGCCAGTCAGTCCCCCCTTCTCCTCCCATCAAAGTGCTCTTTTTTTTTTCTTCTTCAAAGTGCTCTTTTGAGGGTAGGTTAAAACCTGTTCTCCCTGGCCCCCTGTCTGGCCTGGAGGCCGTTCTCTTTGGTCAGGGAGAGCCAGCCAGTGGCTATGGCTGGGAGTCCAGCTCAAGGCTTCGCTGAGCAACAGGACAGCCACTTGGGAAGGGAAGGGGGCTAGGTGGTGGCGCTGGCCACGTCATAGCCTCCACTGTGTGGGGCCTGTGTCCCCATCGGACTTCCTGGGTTTCTTCCTGGTTGCACACCCTCTAGCTGAGTGGTTTGCATCACTGAGTTTCAGGTTCCTCATTGTACAATGGATAGGTCTGTATCACAGGGCTGCTGAGAAGAGTCAATGAAACAAGAGTGAAAAATGACTCTCTTGGTCTCTGGCACATGCTGAGAACCACTAAATGTGCCCTAGCCGGTTGGGCTCAGTGGATAGAGCGTCGGCCCGCAGACTGAAAGGTCCCAGGTTCAATTCCGGTCAGGGGCACATGCCTGGGGTGCGGGCTCGATCTCCAGTAGGGGGTGTGAAGGAGGCAGCCGATCAATGATTCTCTCATTGTTGATGTTTCTATCTCTCTCTCCCTCTCCTTTCCTCTCTGAAATCAATAAAAAACCAAACAAACTCCATACTTAAAAAAAAAGAACCACTAAATGTGAACTCAGTGGTGTGTCTCCCCCAGTTCCCAGGTGGGGGTGTGGGGAGGGTGTGCACCTCACTGCAACTGGGGAGAGTGCTACGTTTTACTGGGTCAAGGATTTGGGAGTCACCCCAAAGAGGCTGGAGGCAGCATCTTTGCTTCTGTCTCTCCTGCCTCCAGGTGTCTATGTGTGCGCCAAGTGTGGCTACGAGCTCTTCTCCAGCCGCTCCAAGTATGCGCACTCATCGCCATGGCCAGCCTTCACGGAGACTATCCATGCTGACAGTGTGGCCAAGCGTCCAGAGCACAACCGGCCCGAAGCCTTAAAGGTGAGTGGTAGCAGTAGGGGGTGGGAAGGGGGGTGTTGGCCACCCCTTCCTTCTGCTCCCCCTGCAGCTCTAGGGGCTTAGAGTCTGTCTACCCCAGGCCTCTCCCCTCAGCCAGGGAAGCTGCCACCCCAAACTATGAGACCACCTGGGGTCTTGGTGGGAACAGGGAAATAGGGCGACTTTCCTGCGCAGGCTCCAGGATGGAGGTCAACCTCTCCCGCCATCAGTTGCCTTGGGAAATGGGCATGGGGAGGACATGGTCCGCTGGTGGCAGGTGGGGCCATTGCTGTGGTTATTTTGTGGCCGGAATCACGTGGCTGTTTTTCTGCTCTTCCCAGGTCTCCTGTGGCAAGTGTGGCAACGGATTGGGCCACGAGTTCCTGAACGATGGCCCCAAGAAGGGGCAGTCACGCTTCTGAATATTCAGCAGCTCACTGAAGTTTGTCCCTAAGGGTGAGTGTGCCTTCAGGAGCTGGGAATAGGCCTGTCATCCGTTTTAGAGGCTCTTGGCAGGGCGCATACTCCTCTCATCCACTTACAGTGACAAAGCGTGGGGACAATAAAGCACGCTGCAGGGCTTCCCACGGCCACCCCAAAAGACAGCTGCAGGACAGGGACAGAGGAGCAGATGTCCTGCCTCCTGTGCCTGGTTGATCACATGTCTCCACAAAAGGGACACCTGAGGGTGAATGAGGCAAAGGATTTTCTCCAGAGATCTGGCTCTTCCCCCTGACTAGAGTGCACCTGGGGCCTGGCACGTAGTAATAGCTCATATAGGCACTTCTGTTGGCAGTATTTTTATTATTCGTAGTATGTTTTGGGGGGATGTATTTCATTTTCCTGCATTTTATCTGAGCTCAGCCTCCTCTCTGGCCTTTGCTCTCCTGGTCACACAAATGCCCACAAATCACCTCATGTCTGTTTGCACATCCAGCCATTCTCGGGACTCCTCCCAAATCCCCATACCTTACTTGCCACCTGCGAGACTGTGGCCAGTCCCTAGTCCGGTTCATCCTCTGTAAAATGGGGCTGCTGACAGCACCTGCTTGCTGCATCATTGAGGTTAAACTAGGGTGTCCGTAGGGGCTGGTGCATGATGAGGGGCGAAGATGCTTTTGTCCTTTTGAGTTACTTAGCCTCTATCTGTCTGCAGGAAGAAGAGGCTCTAGGGTGTGATGGGGCACACAGACTCCCCGAAGCTGGGTGTCTGGGTCCTCTCAGCTCCCCGGGCTTGCAGGCGGGAGTGGCGGGTGTGAGTGCAGGGGATAGTATCTGAAACATAATTGAGCAAGGATTGTTTTTTCTCTCCCCTCCTTCCTTTCTTTCAGACCAAGAAACTTCTGCCTCCCAGGGGAAGTAGGTGGGCAGCCCTCGGCCACCCCAGATGGCCACTGCAAGGTGGCCACTCGCTGGCCACCCTTCCTTGGAATTGAAACCCTGGACATTCAAACAGGGAAGGGGGTGGCTGAAACATCAGGAAGGCTCCCAAGGCCTTGACCCTGCACTGGTTTTCCTTGGGAAAAGTACCGGTTTGCCACCGATGGCCCATATCCTGCTGCCAGGACGGGCCTGCAGGGCCCCGTGTCAGCTCATCTTGGCCTCAGGGAGGTGGGTTCTAGGCTTGGCTCATCTGTGAATGACACTGCACCCCGCCTTTACTTCTTCTCAGTCCACTGCCCCCTTCCTGCCTGTGGGGCCCAATTCGGAGATGGACTCTGGCCTTCACCAAGGCTGGTGCCCATCTCCTGAAGCCATGCCAGGAGACAACGCCAATGGAGGCGGCCCCAGCCAGCTGCTCCAGCCTCAGTCACTGCATGATTCACTCTGGTTAAACCCTTCCAGGCAGCCAGAGTGTTGAAGATCTGTGACCTGTGGTGGGAGTGGGATGAGGGGACAGACCTTTGATCTCTCAGATACGAGAGGAGAAATTCTGAACCGTGTTTCCCAATCTGTGTGGCTGCTGCTTGCCTCACTTGGGCTGAGGAAAGCATCTATTGCTCCACTACCGTGACTGCCCAAAGTTGGGGGTTCTGGAGCTCACAGCCTACAGTCCACACATTCCCAGGGCACAGCGGCCACGCTTCATTGCACATGCACTGAAGTTCTTGCCATCTGGGAGGGTGGGTGATGCTGAAACCCTCCTTCCCATCTTGAATCCTCTCTGGAATAATTTGGAGATGAATAAACAAATGTAACCCAGGCCTGCTCTGTTTATTAACAGCTTCAGAGATGCCAGGAAACAAGCGTCAGGCTTTGCACAATTGCTTCATTTGTTCCAAAAATATTTATTGAACATGTGCTTCGTGCCAGGTTCTAGCCTTGGTGCTGCGGACGCAGGCATGTGCAAGACAAACAGGGCCCTCCAGGTCTTGTGGCATAGTTGAGGAGACAGTAGATTCACGTCAGATGACGAGAAGGGCTGTGAGCAACTACAGCAGAGTGATGATGCTAGGATGTGTGGAGGGGTGATCAGAGGACTGTGCTTTGGCTCCAGTGATCAGGGAGGAGGGGTCATCTCAACTCAGCAGTGACAGCTGAGAGAAGCAAGAAGAGCTTCCCAGGCAGAGGCACAGCGTGTGCTGAGGCACCGAGATGGCAGTGAACGTGGCATGCCCAGGCCTTGTAGGGGGAGGTGCATAATGTGACCTATGAGGAGGGGTGCTAGAGAACTGCTCCCATGAAATGGGGAAACTTAAATGCAGTGGGGGACATTGGATCCCGAGATGTCAGAGTCCAAGTGGAGGCACTTTTAATGGCCAAGTTGAGGTGGGCGTGGTTATCCTAATAGACAGCAGAGTTAAAGCAGCAATCAGAGTCGACTCTTTTTTTTTTTTTTAAACAGTTATTTTTTTTAATATATTTTATTGATTTTTTTACAGTGAGGAAGGGAGAGGGATAGAGAGTTAGAAACATTGATGAGAGAGAAACATCGATCAGCTGCCTCCTGCACGCCCCCTACTGGGGATGTGCCAGCAACCAAGGTACATGCCCTTGACCAGATTCGAACCTGGGACCCTTCAGTCCGAAGGCCGACGCTCTATCCACTGAGCCAAACCAGCTAGGGCCAGAGTCGACTCTTATTGATTTATGGCATTGGCTCGTTGATGATGATGTCCCTAGAAGGGAAATAGATGGGAGGCCTACTGAATTCTTACTTAATCTGTATAAGCAGAAGATTTCTAGGTCAAGAGAACAAAAGTCTAACTTGAATCATAAAAACAGTCATGACCTCTCAATTCCCAGACTTCAGACAGTTTACAGACCCAGAACTCCCAGAATGAAGGGGAGGTCGGGACCCCTTAAGGAAGAACTCTGCCAAAATGTATCCATTAAGTTTTCTTCCAGCCGAAATTTCCTAAAGGGACCTAGACCTGCAGCCTTTTATCAGAGTGCCTGTGTGGGGAAAGGAAATAATCAGACATTCTGGGGACTCTGGACACTGGCTCTTAACTGATACCACCCAGTCCTGGCTGGGTAACTCAGTGGGTTAGAGCACCGTCCTCATACGCCAAGGTTGTGGGTTCGATTTCCAGTCAGGGCACATACAAGAATCAGCCAATGAATGCATAAATAAATGGAACAACAAAACTCTTTCTCTCTCTTTCTCGTTAATAAATAAAAAAATAAACTGATACCATCCAGGAGACACATTACTGTGTCAGAGAGAGTAGGGGCTTGTGGAGGTCAGGTGGTCAATGAAATTTTAGCTCAGATCCATTTCACAGTGGATCCAGTGGGTCCCCACACCCATCCTGTGGTTATTTCCCCAGTTTTTTTTTTTTTTTAAAGATTGAGATCTTTTTTTTTTAAAAAAATATATTTTATTGATTTTCTACAGAGAGGAAGGGAGAGAGAGATAGAGAGTTAGAAACATCGATGAGAGAGAAACATTGATCAGCTGCCTCCTGCACATCTCCTACTGGGGATGTGCCCGCAACCCAGGTACATGCCCTTGACCGGAATCGAACCCGGGACCTTTCAGTCCGCAGGCTGACACTCTATCCACTGAGCCAAACCGGTTTCGGCTCCCCAGTTTTTTTTTTTTTTTAAATATATTTTATTGGTTTTTTACAGAGAGAGGAAGGGAGAGAGATAGAGAGTTAGAAACATCGATGAGAGAGAAACATCGATCAGCTGCCTCCTGCACATCTCCTACTGGGGATGTGCCCACAACCAAGGTACATGCCCTTGACCGGAATCGAACCCGGGACCTTTCAGTCCGCAGGCCGACGCTCTATCCACTGAGCCAAACCGGTTTCGGCTCCCCAGTTTTTTTTAAAAAAAATTTTTTTAAATTGATTTCAGAGAGGAAGGGAGAGGGAGAAAGAGTGATGAGAATGAGGGAGAATCATTGATTGATGCCTCCTGCACGCCCCCTACTGAGGATCGAGCCCAAAACCTGGGCATGTGCCCTTGACCATAATCAAACCCTGGACCCTTCAGTCTGCAGGCTGACGCTCTGTCCACTGAGCCAAACTGGCCAGGGCTATTTCTGCAGTTCTTGATGCATAATTGGAATAGACACACTCCAGCTGGGAGCACTCCCACTTGGGGAAGAGGGAGAAGCTACTCCACCCCCCCTCCCCCGTAGGCCTGAGGGCAAAGGTAGTGAGGTAGGAGGACAGTGGGGGCCCCTCTTTAGCCAGCTCAATCCTCAAAGATTGGACACTTCCCTCCCCCAATCTCCAGTGACAGGCCAGAAACCCAGCCCCGGGTGCGAGATCACCTGGCTGGCTCACTTACTGGGCCCTGGTGGCCGCAGTTCACTGGGCAGCCTCAGGCAGAGCACTTAACCTTGCTCTTGTCTTCAGAACCCAGGCTGTCTCCTTATTGGAGACAGGAGAGCCATGGGGGGCTGACAGGGGGTGACAGGGGGTGGTGGATTCTGAGGTCCCCTGGCATGGGAGCCCAATGGAGAGCCATGGGCAGGGTCTGGCTGCCAGGGGCCTGGTGAGGGATGGGTATCTCATGTGGAGTCATAAATTATCCCCCAACCCTTCCTCCTGTAGCTTACACCATAACCTCTGGCCTGCAGTCCCGTTCCTCCTTGAGAAACAAAAGACTCTTTGAGAGCCCAGCCCCTTCCACTCCAATGCACCCTCCTTGCCAGAGTTGCCCTCAGGCACTGCCTGGTGAGCTAAGGGCTGCTTTGGGGGCAGCTGGCTCCTGGTGCTCTACCATTATTAGTCAATAGCAGCCACCAGGCCAGGCCAGGCAGGTCAGTGCACCCCGGGCAAGGGATGGGTGGAAGAAAGAAGAAATCATCTGGGTCTCATTCATCGGCTCAGAGAAGCACTCAATAAATGCTTGCAGAATGGATGAGCTAATGGACGATGCTTGGGACTTCTGCTCACCTATGACTTTTGCTTCTTCTGAGTGACAAGTTCCAGGAAGAGCCGTGACCCTGATTGGGAGTGAGGCCCAGGGCAGGTCCCGTGGGAAGCCCCTGACGATACCTGAGGGTAGGGCAGACATGTGGGAGAGTGCGCCTGGGGGAGTCGCCAAGCCAGAGGAGGGCCACCGAACCCCCAACCCCATAAGAGGTTCTGGTGGGGGCCCAGCGCGATGACTTCCATCCAGGTCCTCTGATTCTCAAGGTCGCAGAGACTGTGAGCAAGACTGACCGGCAGGGGGCGCGCTCACCCCGCCCCGCTGCAGTTTCCGGAGGCCGCGAGTGTGGGGGGGGTGGTGGTTGGGGGGCGGCGACGACAGGTCCGACTACCGGAGCGGATCCCAGTGCCCGAGCTCCAGCCCCTCAGCCGCACCGCCCGATCTGCCAGTGCGCCAGTGCCCGGGACACACGAAGCCTCCTGGCGCCCGAGGGTGCGGGGCCCCGGGTGTCGGGGCCTCATTTGGTGGGGTGGCTCTTCCCGAGCCAGCTGGAGTGGGACAGAGCTGGGGGGAGTGGGGGAAGGAGCAGGCGATGGGAACAGGATCGGGGGACGCTCCCGGCTGCAGCCCATTCTCCAGGGCAGCTGGGTGGGGCTCACCTGCACTTACACCCTGGCCACCTCTCCCTGCGGCCCTCCCATGCCCTCACATGGCGCCTGCTGTCAGCCAGGCTCACTGGAGAGCACCAGGTTCTGGGCTTCCACCTCCCACACATCTTTGCCCTCGTGTCTCCCCCACGATAATGACAGCGCCTAGCTAGCCTCCCCCAACCAGTGTGATCTTTGCAAAACAGTCATCAGACCAGGTAACTTCCCTCAGTGGTTCCCACAGGCTCTGCTTGCTTGGTCCTCCCTCTCCAGCTTGATCTCCCACTCCACAAATGACAGCAGCCTTATTTCTAACTACGTTGGTTTTATGACCCACATCCCCTGCACCCAAACCTCAGCAGCTGGGCCTTTGGACCAGACAGACTCGCTTCTAGAAACATACCCCTGTGTTTCTGCCTCCTAGAGTTTGCTATTCCTTCTTCCTCACCCCTCCCCGTGTGCCAGAATCCTCCTAGAAGCCTTGCTTGGTGGCTCTGCCCCCGTGGCTCTCTCCATCCCCCACACGGCAGGGGCCCTGGGCAAGTCTCTCATAGGTGTGCACAGACTGGGTTCTTGCCACCCCCTTGCAGGTGTCACCCTACCCCACGGCAATAGCTCCTCATGCCAGCGACTAGGACACATTCATCTCATTTCCTTTTCCAAACGCCAAGCCCTCAGGAGGCTGCACAGAGTAGCATCAGATGAATGTAAGTCACATTGTACTGCCGTCAGCCACTCCCTCTGTATCCCCTCTGCATGAGTGTGTCCCCGGTCTGAGAAATGAAGGGACCCTAGGAACACCCTACCCAGGCCCTGGGCACTAGGACTTTGCTTAATGGAGCTTAGGGGCAAGAAGCATAGGGAAGACAGTTGGTGGCCTCCGGTGGCAGACAGGAGCAGGGGCTGCTGGGGAGGGGGCTGAGAGTTACCTGCAGGTAAGCACCCTCCATCTCAACCTCTCGCCACGGCTCCCAGTGCCTGTCTCCGGGCGTGATTTGTTCCTTGTAAAATGGTTTTATCTCCAACCAGGACATTTACAAGCTACTTCTGGCTTCAAAGAGCGTGGCAGCAGCATTGCCAGAGAGGAGAGACAGAGCAGAGAGGAGATAGGGTCCCGTGGGGTCTGCCCCGAAGTGCAGGCTGCCTGCTGTCCTGGGATTCCTCCTCCACTTCTGACTCCAGTGGCTTTTTGCGTCCTTAGTCCCGAAGTGTGGTTCTTTGC